ACAGCTGGAACAACCTATTCACTTTAATGAACTTTGTGCAGCTTTCGGTCATTAGGAGGAAATTTGTGGTTTTATGAAAATGAATAGTTTGGAAAGCTCGCGCATGTACTGCCTTACGCTTGGCTCGACTGTGTACAGAGACTGAATAAAAGCTTGTAAGTACTATAATAAGGCGGAGAATTTTCAACAGTAAAGAGAGAGAGTTAAAAACTTCTCTTGATAGAGGCATTTAGCTGAGACCCAAAAAACCTTTTCTTCAAAACGAATTTAAATTTGCTTAGTTTTTGCCTAAGACCTTAAATGCCGTGGGGGAAACGAAGTAGAAACCTTAAGAAGTAGGAAAGGAAATCTAAGAGCAAAATAAAACATGCTTATTTCTGCGCTTATTTCTCACATCACTTTTTAATATCACAGCAGAATGGACTGAAAAATCAAAATTTTTGAATTTCAGCTTGATGCTACTGTCAAACAAATTATCTGAAACAGCTTCCAAGTTTACCTACGTACTTAGGCCCACTAAAATTATTTTTGCATTTTCAGAAAAAATAAGATTTAAACCAGAAACAGAAAAATAAGCCTCTCTTGTAATGCGGAATAAATGAACAAAATCAGCCCCAAAGAAAAGATGAGTCAGGATTTTACACTTTGGCGTAAGTCCAGTTCGTAACTGAAGAGAAGGTTGTTCTGCTTGAGAACAAATTTGTAGTAATACTACGTTTTACGAAAACACGCACAATAGGAAAATACAGCTTAATGCATTTTTAAACTTTATAGAAAATCAAACGGTAGATAAAATTTCGAAAAAATTCATTTTCATTAGCGTTAATTCTGGGATATTAATTAGAACAAAAAAGCGTAAAAAAAAATAAATATTACAAAATCGCTACCTTATCACCACGTCGTATGCGGCCACGCATTACCAGTGCGTAGTATGCAGTGCTGTAAACAATCGGCACCGTAGCTGCGTCCGCAAGTGACCAATTGTCCGGCACTCCCCATGCATATTCACGATTTACGACTACCGATGTTGCTAAAGCTTGCGCTGGCAATATTCCCATTAAACGAGTACCATCCTTCAGCCGCCCAGAGAATTCCATTCCCAGCAAACACTCTCGGTCCGCAAACTAAGCATGATTACTTTGAAAACAAAATTCCAACAAGAAAATTTAAGAAAATTGTACAGTTTGCGAAAAGTGGTCAGCGCACCGACTGCCGGTGCGAAGATGCGTTTTTTGCATAGTTCCTCGCAGTTTTTGTCGCTACCGGCACCGGTTTTTCCGGCAAATGCTGCTAGCTAGAAGAATTGAGACTGGCCGCCAGGGCTGTCAGGAAGCATCTGTTTAAAATTCCAGCTTTCTAGCCTTCCTGGTTCCCGAGTTAGCAAGTTACTCGCAAAAAACTTTTACGGGCTCGTAGATAGGAGCCACGCACACCCGAAAACGCGGTTTGAACTCATTAATACCTACGTGGACGTGGAACATCCTCTTAAAATTCCAGTCTTCTATCTTCTCAAGCTCCCGAGTTAGCAAATTACCCGAAAAAAACTTTGGCGGGTTCGTACATGAGTGCCACACTGGTAAGAGCGCCCATTTTGGAGATGCGGACACGGACACGCATGTAGATTATGTCCCCAAAGTTTCAGCCCTCCGGCTTTTGTAGGTCTTAAGATGAAAAATCGGTACAGACGAACACACAGACACACACATAGACAACCTCTCATCACTGTGCGTTTTCTGCACAGCATAAATGCAAAAAACGCATAAAAAAACA